CAAAAAAAAAAAAAAAAAAAAAAACTCCAATAATTAGAAGAAATAAATAAATAAATAATTGATAAGGATAATCATACAACGGAGGAAGGTTCATAATTGTGTCTGTTTCTCGTACGCGTTCTAAAGTCAAAACTCATCGTTTTGCCTTCACTTCCAACCTCTCCCCATTTTATTCTTTATCAATCCTCTTCTTCTCCTCTTTCTCCTCAAAAAAACTTCCCGATGGCCGGAGGTGGCGCCGGAAGGTCCTTGGAAGAGACGGCCACATGGGCCGTCGCCGCCGTCTGCTTCGTCTTGGTCTTGATTTCCATTGTCATCGAACATAGCCTGCATCTCATCGGAAAGGTACCTACTCTAAACGCCACCGTTTCGTCTCATTTCATTAACCCCATTATTTCTTCTATCATAATCTGTTTCTCTACTGTAGTGGTTTAAGAAGAAGCACAAACGAGCTCTTTACGAAGCCCTTGAGAAGATCAAAGCAGGTATACATACATACATACATACATGCATGCATGCCTACATACATATATATGTATATAATCTGGGTGTTGTTTCAAAATTGTAGAGCTGATGCTATTGGGGTTCATATCGCTGCTGCTGACGGTAGGACAAAGCCTAATCACCAATGTTTGTATACCGGAAGACGTGGCGGCCACGTGGCATCCATGTAGTCCCCAAAAGGAGGAGGAATTAAGTAAACAAGATGACGTGGTGAACTCCGACACCAATCGCCGGAAACTTCTCGCCGTCTCCCCTGTCAATGCCACTTTCCGGCGTGTCCTCGCTGGGGGCGGCGGAACCGACAAATGTGCTGCTAAGGTATGGAAAATAGAATATTTGAAAAGCATAAAAAAAAAAAATTGAATAATTAATTATAATAAAACAAATCCATATATTTATTTATTATTATTTTGAAAATATATAGGGTAAGGTTCCATTTGTGTCGGAAGAAGGCATTCATCAGCTACACATATTCATCTTCGTGTTGGCTGTCTTCCATGTTCTGTACTGTGTTTTAACTTTGGCTTTAGGGAATGCTAAGGTATGTGTAAATTCATTAATTAAATCCCAATTTTATTATTTATTATTATTTGTTTTCTTTAATGAATTTTATTATTTTTTTTAATTTTTATAAAAAAAAGATGAGAAGTTGGAAGGCATGGGAAAAGGAAACAAGAACCGTGGAGTACCAATTTTCACACGGTAAATTAAATTTATATTAATTTATTTATTTTCGTGTGAGTTAATGTTTATGTTTAAATACGACAGATCCAGAGCGGTTCCGATTTGCAAGAGACACATCATTCGGAAGAAGACATTTGAGTTTTTGGACCAAATCTCCTTCTCTCGTATGGATGGTAAGATTAATCATCTCTCAGACATAAAATTTAATTTAATATTTAATATATTAATTAATTTAAAATCAAATCAAATATGTTTTCTTAAAACATTTATAAATTTTTTTTAAGGTTATTTGTTTTGTTTTTGTGTCTTTTGGGGACAGATTTTAATTGCATTTTAACGGCGTTTATGATTGGGCGTTTAATTCTTTTGACTTTTTTTTGTATACCAAAGCTTCTTCAACCTTCATTTATCAACCTCCCCTCCCCCTACCCTATATATTTTCATTTTCATATTTAATTCTTTGTTGAATTGCATTTTCCAATTACATTATTAAATCTTTTAAATTATATTTCATAATTTCAAAACTAAATTGACGAATGATACGTGATTGACGTGAAAACCATAATTTTTAATTGAGTTATTTAATGCAAAATTTTAATTTATTTTATATTTTTTGGAATAGGTTTGTTTCTTCAGACAATTTGTTCGGTCGGTTCCTAAAGTTGATTACCTGACCTTAAGACATGGTTTCGTGATGGTTAGTTGTAATTTTCTTTCTCAGTTAATTTAATATTTATAAAATTAATATTTACCTATTAAAATTTAATATTTTTAATTAGGCTCATCTGGCACCACATAGCGATCAGAAATTCGACTTCCAAAAATACATCAAACGATCCCTGGAAGAAGATTTCAAGGTGGTCGTTAGTATCAGGTAAATATTATTATACCAATTCTGTCCCTCTCTTTTTTTGTTATTCACTTTTATGCCCCTAATTCATTAATTCTGCAGCCCTCCAATCTGGTTTTTGGCTGTCCTCTTCCTACTTTTCAACACCCATGGTGAGTAAACTCAAATTAATAAGCCTAATTCATAATTAATTAACTATTAACTAAACTAAACGCTTAGTTAATTAACTTTTTGGGTGGGATTTGCAGGGTGGAGGGCGTACCTATGGCTTCCATTTATCCCATTAATCGTAAGATTAAGTAATTTAATTAAGGTTAAAAAATGGGTGCATTTGATTAATTAATTAATTAATTAAAATTTGTGCAGATTGTATTACTGGTGGGAACGAAATTGCAAGTGATAATTACGAAAATGGCAGTGAGGATTCAAGAAAGAGGCGAGGTGGTGAAGGGGGTGCCGGTGGTCGAGCCAGGGGACGAGCTTTTCTGGTTCAATCGGCCTCGCCTCATTCTTTATCTCATCAACTTCGTGCTGTTTCAGAACGCCTTTCAGCTCGCTTTCTTTGCTTGGACTTGGGTACGTCTGTTGAACACGACTCTCTACAATAATATGATATTCTCCACTTTGAGTATAAGCTTTCATGCTTTTGCTTTGTAATTCCCAAAATGCCTCGTGATAATATTCCTTAATTATAAACTCATGTTCTTTGAACTATTTTAACTCCATTTCATAATTCAATTTTACAGAAAGAATTCGGGATGAAATCGTGCTTCCATGAGCACGTAGAGGATTTGGTGATTAGAATAACGATGGGGTGAGTGAGTTTGTAATCTTTAACGATCGTGAAATCAAATATTTATGTAGCTAATTAGATCTTGTGATTGCAACAGGGTTCTCGTTCAAATCCTTTGTAGTTATGTCACGTTGCCCCTTTACGCTCTCGTTACACAGGTAAAGTCATTACATTACGTTACAATTCCAAAACTCGTTCTAATTGTTTGTTTTTCTGTTTTTCTAGATGGGTTCCACAATGAAACCAACGATTTTCAACGAAAGGGTAGCAACGGCGTTAAAAAACTGGCATCACACGGCTCGCAAACACATTAAGCAAAATCAAGGTTCCATCACGCCTATGTCTAGTCGCCCACCAACCCCGTCCCACCATATGTCGCCGATGCACCTCCTCCGCCACTACCGAACCCAGTTGGACAGTGTCCACACCTCTCCCAGACGGTCCGTTTTTGACAATGACCATTGGGACCCCGACTCAACGTCGCCGTCGCATCGCTTTCACCCTCGCGACATGGAGACCGGCGGTGATGTTGAGGTTGAGACTGACCATTCAAACCAACCCAATTCAACTCAAGTCGTGGATGTAGATGTTGAACCGATGGAGATGAATAATGATTCTGAACAGCATGAGATTAAAATGGGTTCGAATGAATTTTCGTTTGACAAAAGAAATGATAGAATATGATGCTATTTGTATACTTTATTTTTGGTTGATGTAAATGAAGGGGATACTTATCGTTTTAGTTAGTAGCCCAATGTAATAAATTTATTTTAATTGCAATAAAATTTATAATTTTAAAATATTCAAATTAATTTGTTATTTTATTAAACCTCATCTATTTTATTGAAATTACTTTTTTACCCATTTGTAAACTCACAACTTTTCTTCCCCAATAGTTGCTTGAGGGTCAAATTGACAATTATTAAACTTTAAAGCATCCCAATGAGATATTTTCAAAAGGATAGATATTTTAAGAAAAGGTATGAATTGAGAAAAGTCGAATGTGGATCCATTTAATATTGTGAGATTCTATATTGGAAGATGTATGGTAATATCTCATGTCGGTTGGAGAGAGGAACACTGGTTTCCACGGGGATGGATGGTGAGAACCCACATCTTTGGAGAAGATCTCCTTATGGTTTGAGAGTGCTTCTTTTGACGACGGTCATTCTTCACGATGTCGGCGACAGTGAGCTGACCAATCCGCGTGAGCGGAGCAAGCGTCGCTTTGAGCATTACAGAGCCCAATGATTTGCAGCAGCCGGTTTGAATCATGATGTTTAGTTGTGAATAAATTTTGAAGATAAAAAGATATTGTTTTTTATAGGAAAAAAAAATAAAAAAATGGGGAGAAGTTTTCAGAAAAAATAAAGATATTGGGAGTCAAATAATAATATAATATATAATTTGCAGGGTATAATGATATGTTTCTATATATATATATATATATTTTAATTATAAATAAATGTTGTTTTTCTTTGACAAATTCGAAATCTCGAAGAGATTTTAAATTTATTTTTTAAAAAAATCAAAATGAAAATTTCAATTTTATTAAGATGGGGAATTAGGATTAAGTATTATAAAGTTACCTTCAATTTTAGTAATGTTAACCCATGGATTTACCGTTTCATTTTCACTATTAATCGGGAGTCTTTGAAGCTTCTGGTTCCTTTTTGTCTCTCTCATTTTCCACCGTTCTGATCTCTCTCCCAAATTCGGCGGATTCCGATCTTCTTCTCCGATTTTCAATCTATGGCTAGAGGCACGTCTCAATCCCAATCTGCATCTTCCTCCACCTCCAGGCCTGGCGTTGTGGCTCCTCGCGGCTCCGCCGCGGCGACGGCTGGTCTTCGCCGTCGCCGTCTCGGTTCCACTTCTGGTGCCGGCACTACTGGACTTGTTTCTGGCGGATCAAGTGGCGGCGGCAACATGCTGAGGTTCTACACTGACGATGCTCCTGGTTTGAAGATTTCTCCGACCGTCGTCCTCGTTGTGAGCCTCTGCTTCATCGGCTTTGTCACTGGCCTCCACGTCTTCGGTAAGCTCTATCGCGCGCGATCCGCCGCGGGAGTTTAATCCTATATGTTTTGTGTATCGCGTGTTTTCTTTCTGGATCTTTTCATTCCTTAGATGAAATGTTCCGGTTTCGCTCTTGAACTAATGAATGAACGATTTGCTTTCGGCTTTTGCTCTGTAAAATTAACAATCGTCGTAGTGCCTTGAGGCTTCAATTTAATCAGTTGTGGACGAATTGAAAGGAACGAGATAGTCCTTTTGCTGATATTTTGTCTTAGGTCAATCTACTTCGTGTGAGTGATGCGGATTGCAGGGAGGTTCTTTTTCACGTCTGTATATACTGTTTGTTTCCACTGAAAATTGTGCTTTTGTATGCTATGAATATTAGCTGTTTCTTATAGATTTTATTTTGGGTGAGTGGAGGTTCTATACTTGGGGCTACATTCTTTATGAACAATTGCGGATCAATTATGGATCATGTCCGCTTTCTGATTGATATTCACAGATTAGATTTTCGTTTGATAAAGCTGATGTTTAGTTGTGCTTGGGAAGTGTCATTGACAATCTTTTCTACTCGCGATTAAAGTTGAGAAGATGGAATCACACTCCATTACACAAAGCTTGTTTCGATTTGTGGTTTTTGCCTCTTTTATCATTGCCTTTTTACAAGTGGGTAAAGTGGAAAGTGCACATGAACCTTTGTTCACACTGTAGAGTATTTAGAGGATGGATGAAATATGCTCCACATCGCACAACATGCAAGATTTTGAGTGAAGATTTAAGTATTCTATGTGGAGTACATTTTGGATGGACTAAGGAAACCTTATCTATTGAATAAGACTTCAATCAATCATCATTGAGCTGCTAAGCATCTGATTTCCTCGTTGGAGGGCTCCATTTACAGGAATTCTTGGCTGTAAACTTTTGGAAACTTGAAAGTTTTGATCTCTTTTTCATTTTTTGGCTTTAGTTATTACTTGGAAGACAAAAACAATGCCCTTGATACAATATTTTCTTCCTTATGTGGTATTTTCTTCTTGTTCTTCCTTCTTTTTTTTTTTTTCTTTTTCTTTTTGTGAGGGCTGGGTGGAGCTCTGAGATGTTAGACAGATTGAGACAGAGGTTGCCTAATGAAAGTTTGTTGCAGTGAATGGTGGCAATTTGAAGAGATATGTTATCTGAAAATTTCATATTCTGGAAACTGAAGTCTTGTTCATTTGTCTTTCTGTGAAGGAAACGAACGAAATTTCACAATCCAATTTAGATTTTTAAGAATAGTTGTTAGGAAGTTGAATAGTTCAAATTGATGTGTTCAATAGAAATTGGTAAGGTGTTTGAAGTTCTGACTTACTAACTCTTGTATCTATGGCTTGAGCTACCTCAATTCTACTCAATCGTTCTTGAAATGTGTTCATGGTTCAGACTCTTTATTGAAATCAACATTTTTAAAAACCTCACATACTTAATTTAACTTTATTTTATTATTATTATTATTTTTTGTAGTTCTGAATTTTTAGTCTGGATTATTCGTTCTTGAGGTTAATTTTTATTTATTAGGATTTTTCACTTTTATCCTTGAGTTTTCACCATGAATGCTTGCTTTTGGTCCTGGTGTTCGGTTCGGTTAATTAGCTTAAATATTATGAGGTAGAATTGGTTTAATTAATTGTAATAGTGATAGTGAATTAATTTAAAGGAATTAAATTAATTGATAAAAGTACCATAATTGATCAAAAGCAAGTATTACTGAAAATTAACCCAGTTTAAATCTTATTTTACTTCCAATTTTCAAAGTATCTAGAGTTTATTTGTTATTAAGATTTTCAATAATTCTCAAGTTGTTATGTCAAGTATGATGAACAAATTTAAATAACATAAAGTTAATTACCAGGTCAACAAATATTAAATAACATAATAGTCATGAAAAGTGAGTTTTTAATTTTTTTTAATTAATTAATTAATTAATTTAATTTTTTTTTTTTGTAATTTAGATAGTGCGTTTTTTCCCCCAAGTTCATGAAATAAATTAAGTGTGTTTGGAATTATATGATTTTTGAACAAAATTAATTAAACTTATCGAGTGCTTTTATGTGAACAATAAGTTTTTTTTTTCAAAATAATAATAAGAAGAAGAGATGAAAAGGTGCTTGAAAAATATGAATTAATTAAAAAAAAATTGAATAAACACTTATAGAGAACTATCTAAAAATGAATTAAAAATATTCCAAATATATAATAAGAAATAAAAAAAATTTAAGAGGAATAGAATTGTTTTTAATGTAGCATAATCATACAAATTTATTATTTAAAATACTCTGAAAAATATAAGATATTATAGCCAAATTATTTTCAAAAGTACTAATGGTGAAAGGTATTTAAAAAAAAAAAAGAGTATATTAGGAATAATTTAGTGAAATAAATGATTTTTTTTTTTTAACAAAATGAATATATTTTTAAAAAGTTAGAATGCTTTTTTAAATAAACAATTGGATTATCTTAAAATAACTAGAAAATCTTCAAAATAAATAATAAAAATATAAACAAATTTATAATGAGTAAGAAATAATAACATTTTTATTGAAAATAATTTCTGAAAAAGTGTTTAAATTATTTTTACATTATTTTATGAATTAATTATTTATAGAATATTATTATTTATTGATTAAAGAGAGTTAGTTAGGGGGGAATGGGCGTTCCATCTGTTTCTCCTGCATCTTCGAAACCGCTTTGTACGCTGGACGTCTCAGAGTGCGAGAAGAGAAGGGGTTTGATGGATATGTCCCAAATGAAGAACAAACCATCTTCCGACCATTTCTATCTCCAAATCTCTGCCTTCTTTTTCTTCTTCCTCCAGCCCTTCTTCTTCTTCTGCATCTGCTCGCGACGCCAAAATGACCGTAATCGATGTCATCTTCCGAGTCGATTCCATTTGCAAGAAATACGAGAAGTATGATGTCGAGAAACAGCGCGAGCTCAATGCTTATGGTGATGATGTTTTTGCTCGCCTCTACGCCGCCGTCGAACTCGAAATCGAAGCCGCTCTCCAGGTTTAAGTCCTTTTATTCTCCCCATTGTCTAGTTTTCTTCTTTGATAACCTATCCTACTGTTTTAATTGAAGATTGATTTGGTTTTAGAAATATGAGAGTGCCTGTACGGAGAAGAATAGGGCTGCTGCAGTTGCGATGAACGCTGAGGTTCGGCGGAAGAAGGCCCGATTGATGGATGAAGTTCCCAAGCTTCATAAATTGGCTCGCAAGAAGGTGAAAATCTTCCCCCTCTTTGTTTTATTTGATACTAGGGGTTTCTCTCCTCTCGTTTCGTTTTTTGATCGCCATGGATGTGGTTCAGATTAAAGGGGTTCCGAAAGAAGAGCTTGAGGTCAGAGGTGATCTTGTTCTTGCGCTTGAAGAGAGGATTAAAGCGATTCCAGATGGGAGTACGACAGGCAAACCATCTGGAGGATGGGCCTCCACCTCATCTAACAATATTAAGTTTGATTCAACAACAGGTTTGACTCCATTTCAATGAAGCTTGAGATATGTTTGTTCATTTTTGTTGTTTGGCTTTGATTGTTTACGACCCACTTTAGATGGACACTTCGAGAGCGAGTATTTCCAACAAAGCGAAGAATCGAGTCAATTTCGACAGGAGTATGATATGCGGAAGATGAAACAGGCATGTGAGTTTCTTTACTACTTTTCTGCATTGGAAATTAGTTCTAAGACAGAACGCATAAATTATTAAAGATAAATGGATAAATGTTTGGGGAGGATTGTTGGGTTGGAGTTCACATGGGCTAATTTAGAAGAGGATTACAACTCTATTGGTATGAGACCTTTTGTGGAACCCTGATACAAAGTCAGTAGAGTTTATACTCAAAGTGGATAATATCATACCATTTTGGAGATTTATAATTCCTAATACGCCCAACATTACATGAAGTTGGATCAAGGGTGTGGCAAAGGATTTACAAACTCCTTACAAAACAAATCTACTAAAAACCCTTTTTTCTGAACACTTGAAAGGTCATTTGGAAGAGGGCATATGTCGCAAATTTTATACTTTTAATGTAATTTCAATGGCTTATCAGTTTTGCTATGACAATGTGGCTGTGCTTAGTTTTATCATCTGTGTTTGCTTCATCTTTGTAGGACGAAGGTCTGGATGTCATATCTGAAGGGTTGGATATGCTGAAAAATCTAGCCTATGATATGAATGAGGTCAGTAGGGAAAAACAACAAACACATAAATTGGTGGTTAATAGCTCTGTTTAGGGCCATCTAATTAGGGTTTTATCCTTGTTTTTAGGAATTGGATAGGCAAGTTCCATTAATTGACGAGATTGACTCAAAGGTATAACTTAGAATTTTGTTTGGTTTGAGATTATTATGCATATGATAAGTATATCTTAGGTAGCTCTGTTTTTTGACGTTGTTATAGGTAGACAAGGTGACTAATGAGATGAAAAACACCAATGTTAGGCTCAAGCAAACGCTGAATGAGGTAATTAATGTTGCAGAAAGCAAGCATTGTGTTAATAAACAGACTCTTATACTGTGGTTTTGTAATTGAATGAAGGTGAGATCCAGCCAAAACTTCTGCATCGATATCATTCTTCTCTGTATAATTCTTGGAATCGCTTCTTACTTGTACAAGTGAGTACTCTGATTCTGCGAAATTCTCATTAATGGGTATCATCAAATTCAAAAGATAGCAAATCTGGGTAACGCTTGGCATGTTTTTGTGCAGTATATTGAGCGGAAATGGTTGAATTATGGGCTGACCATGAGTTACGAGGTGACATGGAGGCATTATTCATTCATCAACTTCAATACTACATGTCGAGATCTGCAGCCGTGTACAATTTCTTTATTTCAGTGGCTGGATAAATTGTAAAACATCTCCCATTTTCACTATGGCTATATCAAGGAAGAAGTCAATTATAAAGATGCAATTTTTTTTTTAAAAATTTTTTTGTTGCCTTTAGTTTCTGCTTCTCTGCAGATGGATTTGTCTTTGTTTGAGGAACGAGAGCACGAAATATATGATTTTTTTTTTTTTTTTGAGTTGTTGAAATTGGAGTTGGAATATATTTGAGCAACTAAATAGTTTCTTTTTATCTCATTTCAATCCCGGGAAAGAAAACGAAAACAAATTTTGTAGTTTTCTGGTTTTTTAAGAACATACATAGAAACATCAAAGATTAGATGATAAGATGAATTGGAATGACACTAAAAATGTAAGAGTCCCACGTTGGTTGAGGAGAACGAAATACCAGTAGTGTAGAAACCTTCTTTCCCTATCAAACACGCTTTAAAGCCTTGAGAGAAAACTAAGCCCAAAGAGAACAATATCTGCTAGCGGTGGGTTTGAGCCGTTACAAATACTATAGAGCCAGACACTGAACGATGTGCCAGCGAGGAGGTTGTTTCTCGAAGGGGATAGACACAAGGTGATGTGATCGTAAGAACACTGGGCTCCAAAAGGGGTGGATTTGGTGGTGGTCCCACATCGGTTAGAAACACCGGGCTCCAAATGGGTGGATTGGGTGGTGGATCCACATTGATTGAATAAAGGAACAAATGCTAGCGAGAACGTTGGGCCCCGAAGGAGGTGAAATGTGAGAGTCCCACATTGGTTGGGGAAGAGAACAAAACACCGTGTTTATAAGGGTGTGGAAACCTTCCCCTAGCAAATGCGTTTTAAAGCCTTAAGGGGAAGCCCGGGTGTGGAAACCTTCCCCTAGCAAATGCGTTTTAAAGCCTTAAGGGGAAGCCCGGAAGGAAAACCCTAAAGAGGACAATATCTGCTAGCAATGGGCTTGGACCGTTACAAAAAAATAATTAGGGTCCTAAAGTTTTCTTTTCCCTTAGAAAAGAAAAGAAATAGAAAATAAAAATTTTGTTAATAACTTTGGTAAGAATTCCTGTTATCAAGGTACAAACTGTACGGAGGAAAATAAAGATGACTAAATATAACACATACAAAGAAGAAGATGAAGTATGGAGTTGAAATATCAAGACGCCTCGCCTTTCCCCGACTCTGCCATGCCTATCTCCTTTACTGCATCTTCAAATTTTAATTTTTCAGGGACAAAATCTGGAGAGGAAAAAAAAAGTATGACGTTTCATGAGGAGTCTATAATAGTAGTTGGGAATATGAAGTGGGATGTATGAATAGGTAGTACCTGAAAGAAAGTCATATCGTTTCCTTTTGCTAACTACTGATGCTGCAACAACAGAGGATAATCTTATTACTGCCATTGTGGAAATTGTCTCTTCAAAAGCATAAAGTAAATGCACTGATAATACAAATCAGTGATTCTCCAACAGACTACCATGATAGATTGAGGCTGATAATTCAAGTCCCTTAACCAAGTAATTGGAGTAACCTAAATCTAAGGTCGTAATCCATGTTAGCCTATGACCATGATCGTGATATCTTACTTGTCACTAGCCAATAAATGACCATCATGCTGCTATTCACTTTGCAGCATGAATACAGAAAGAAAGAAGCACGATTGAAAATATAACTGCCCAAGTCCACCGCTAGCAGATATTGTCCTTTTTAGGCCTTCCCTTTTGGACTTCCCTCAAGGTAATTAAAATGTGTCTACTAGCGAGAAGTTTCCACACTCTTACAAAAAATGCTTAGTTCCCCCTCTCCAACCAACGTGGGATCTTACAGTATCAAAGCCAGACACCAAGGGCGGTGAACACCAAGTGGTGTGTTAGCGAAGACACTGAGCTCCGAAGGGGGTGGATTGTGAGATCCCACATTAAGCCCCATAGGAGGTTGGACACCGGGCAGTGTGTCAAGGAAGATATTGAGCCCCGAACAGGAGTAGATTGTGAGATCCCACATCAATTGGAGAGGGGAACGAGTGCCAACGAGGATGCCCTCCTCCGTAGGGGAGTGAATTATGAGATCCCTATTGATTGGAGAGGGGAACTAAGCATTCCTTACAAGGGAGTGAAAACCTCCCCTAACATAAGAGGGAAAGTCCAAAAAGTACAATATCGACTAGCGGTGGGCGTTACAGAAAACATTGCCGCTCACAACAAATGTTAAAAGCTCTGTCATGATGGGAATACGCTAGTGGAGTTGTAATCCCCTCTACTATTTCAGGTCCATGCTCTCCCTTTTCTAATACATAATTGGTATGAAATATACTATGATATAATTCACAGGTCTATCCTTCTTTTTAGATTAAAACCAGACAACAAATGTAAAGGTAAAACAGTGAGAATCCAAGCAAGAGATGCAAATAAATAATGGATGGGACAAAGTTATCGCATTTTATGCACTATAACAACGAATAAAGATAGACTGCAGCATTAGAATAGAGAGTAGAAACATTACATAGATGCTTGTAAGCAAGTGACTTCTTGCGATCCCGAGCACAGCAAGCATACGCATCTTTGCAAAATTGTAAAAGAAACATCTCCTGCACCAGTGAAGAAGTTTGCAGACATAAGCAGATCAAATTTTAGAAACAATTCCACCAACGAGAAAATACTTAATTCTCCAAATAGAACTAAAATCATACAATTTAGGGTGCTTGCGCGTGTGGGGGAAGTGATGAGGGCTTACCGTAGCTTTGTTGACGAGAAATAGAGCTTCCTGATTTATACGAAAGTCAGAATTTTCATCCCTCGTGATTTTCTTGATCCGCTGCATAGGGAATGTATAAATCTTCTCCTGGACCTCTTCCTCTTCATCTTCTGCATATCCATTCTCTTCTTTCTTCACATGGTTCCATTTTCCTACCTTCGATTTCGAGGTCTTGGCTTTTTTACTTGTGGTTTCGGCTCTGTCCTCGCCGGCATCCTCCTCTTCCGACGCGGAACCTGGAGCAGAAATAAATACAGCGTCGTCGTCCTTCACAGAGCCATTATTCGAATGCTTATTGCTGTAAATCTTCTTCTTCTTCTTCTTCGATTCGTTCTTATCTGATTTTCTGGCGTTGAGGGTTTTGGTTTTGGTAGGTGGCTTCGACGTTCCCGCTTCTTTGCTCTTGATTTCGGTACTTGATCTTTCGGTCGAAGCCATTGTTAAAGTTAGGTGTTTGGGTTCTTTTTCACGACGGATTTAACCATGATTTTGTGTTTTTGGGCCCTCCGTTGGGCCGATTTGGGCGGCCCGTACAATCGGCCCAAAAAATGATAAGAATGGATTGATTATTAATACTCGAACTTTTTTTTTAAAAAAAAAGAAAATTTGGGTTAAAATCTCAATTTAAATTTGGAATACATTATTTCAATGTAGATTCTACATTTTTTTTTAATTGTTTTAAATTTAAAAAAAATTAAAACAACCAGGCATTTAAAAGTAAATAATACAATTTTTAATTAAATAAAGTATCCTCCATTTTTTTACATACTGAACTTTGAGTAATATACAGTATTTTTTAAAATTAAGACTAATTTCCCAAAAAAAGAGAATAAGTTCTGACTATAATTATAATTCAGATATTATTCTTTAAATTAATGCGTCGTAAACGTGAATACTTTGGTGAAGCATCTCCTATAAGGAGGATAAAGCATGGTGCAAATTACAGAATAGATAAGAGATTGAACCTGCAATGAAACTTGAAAAATGTAAAACTGAGTTGAGGAGGGGTTCATTTGGTTTAAGCTAAAGAAAAATCGGAAGGTCGATGTTCGATCGTTCGAATCTCAAATTGTCAACTCCTATGCTTGCTATGCTACTTGAAGATCCTTCAACATCACCAGCCATCTTCAGAAAGTAACTGTGCCTGCATAATTCATGGTTATAAACTCAATTGAGATGGATCATCATAATATTAAGTGATGTATTTCAAGGTAAAACTACACTATACCATCTATTATCTGATGTTAGTTCGGGATGGAAGGCAGTTGCGAGCAAGTTCCCTTGCCTGACTGCTACAATCACTTTGTCTTCTGCACCTTTTTCCTGGGATATTCAATATTCAAACCACAGTGTTACGGGATAGGAGGAAAACGAACGCAAAAGCAAAACTCCCGTGGAGACATGTAACAGCCCAAGCCCATAAGCCATAGGTCCTAGGATCGAAATTTGGCTCTGATACCATTTGTAACAGCTAAATCCCACCGCTAGCAGATATTGTACTATTTGGGCTTTCCCTTTCGGACTCCCCTCAAGGTTTTTAAAATGCGTCTGCTAGTGGGAGGTTTCGACACCTTTATAAAGAATAATTCGTTCTCCTCCCCAACTGGTGAGATCTCGCAACACAAATGAGCTTATAGTCCGAAACTTTTGCCTCATGTATACAGATAACAATCATTTAGACGTACAAATTAGTGGCAATAGCAGTGTATAGATCATACGAGATCAAGGAATGATGAAAGAAAACAACAACAAACCTCTTTGCCTTCACCAGAGGAATTTGAATGCAAGGTAGAGTTTGAAGAGACAGGGCAGTGAGCCAGCACTTGTACTTCTGGCCCCACATCAAGAATTGCAGGAGCTCGGATGAAAACTCCACGGAATGTTTCTGGACCCCCTTCCGTGGACACGAGCTCTGGAATTGATAGCTCCGTTTCGAAGCTTTGAAGCTAGATAATCATGATCTTAAATTAGGAAAATCTGAACTCAAGAAATTGACAGTGAAAATAAAGCGAACTTCAACATCAAGTTAAAGAAACTGAACATTCGGAAACAAAATCTAAGCAGAAGTTCATTGGATAACGGTGTTTGGATCAGCTTATGTACAACAGAAACCATCGAGGATTAATTCCACACTTCAACTAAAACTTTATAACAGCTCAAGCCCACCGCTAGGAGATATTGTTCTCTTTGGACTTTTCCTTTCAGCTTTTCCTTCAAGGTTTTTAAAACGAGCTACTAGAGAGAGGTTTTTACACCATTCTAAAGAATGATTCGTTCTCCTCTCCAACCGATGTGGGATCTCACAATCCACCCCCTTTCAAGGCCCGGCATTTTCATTGGCACTCGTTCTCACAAATTTCATTTTACCAGTTCTCATGATGCTTATCATACGGAGGATTTAGACCAAGTACGTGAGTTTTTTATGGGACAAAGACATTATTTGAGTTGATAAAGAGTCATTTTGATTCCTAATATCCTATGCATGTTCAGTACTAATTCCCAAGGTTCTTTTGTTTACCAGATATTGCTCATCCATTTTGATAGCACAACCCAACATGAGAAACCAGAGTTACCTGACTGCCAAAGAAGTTTCTGTGAACTGTACAATCCAGCCCTCCAACAAGCTCCTGTCCACCGGTTTTCTGTCCTGAAAAAACATGTATATACTGTATCCAATCAAGTTTGAAACATATTTCAAGCATTTTATTGAGGGAAAATGGAAGGAAGTCTACCAGTAGCTTTGTTTGCCAAAAAGATAAGCCCAGCACAGGTGCCCCAGACAGGCTTCCCCATTCTGACAAACTCTCGCAGAGAGGGGAACTGCAATACACAAAAATACCACAATATAAATACTATACTCGATTTTAATTCTATCTATTATCAGAAATTAACCAATCCAAACTTACACAGACGATCGTTTCATACATTTGGGATGTTGGTATGTCTAATCCGATAAAATAGCGTTCAACAAATTTTAAATTAAAAATTACATTTCTGTTTGGTTCACGATTGAATGCAAGATCTTACAACTTTTCCCCTTACCCACGTGTTCGCTCTTCATGAATTTCGACCAAACTAAAGAAAATATTTAAAGACGAATACAGATGTAGCAACGTCTAAAGAAAAGAGGAACAAACCAAATTATGGAGCTCCGCCAGTTTGGCCATGGTGGTGCTTTCCCCTCCAGGAATAATCAGAGAAGCTACATCAAGAAGCTGCTCGGGCTTCCTTATCTCTACGCTCTTCACTCCGAGCCTTCTCAAAGCTGCGCACCACAATCAATTAAGGCCGAAAACTCGTAATAAGAAAAAGATAACGAAATGAAATATCCGTAGAAACGCCTATTACAGATGGAGCTAGCGATAAAGAGGAAGGAGGAGGAGGAGAAAATGCCTGCGATGTGCTCGTTATAAGATCCCTGCAATGCTAGGACGCCGACGGTCGCCATGTTAGGGAATTGGAGCGTTCAGTGGCCCTAGAAGCCGCCGAGCTCCGGCTCCGGCGACGAAAAATCAGCAGAGAGATTCAGAACCGTGTATTAATTGAACACTTCGAACTTTCAATTTAACCCTTCTAACTCTCAACCGCGGTTTAATAACTTTATTCAAGGAATTTAAAAATATTTGTATTCTTCTAAATAATTCTCAATTAAAAAACGTGTTCAATGAGTAACTCAGTTCAAAATAAATGGTTTAAAACATGTTTGTATAATGGACAAAATTTTAAATATATATAAATTAAATTAATAAAATTATTTTGGTCTTTGTCTTATAATAATATTCTTAAATATATATAAGTTTAAGTTAAATTAATAAAATTATTTTGGACTTTATCTTAAAATAATATTCTTAAATTTTTTACAATTTAAATATACCCTTGCATTTACAAAAACAAAAAAAAAATCTAAAAAACACACTTATTATTATTATAATCACATCCTTTAATTTGCACAGGTTTTCAAAGTTCATGGGAAATAAAATGAAATAAAAAAGTGGTTGTCAGGCTGAGGACTACCCACCAAACATTATTGGGCCATGGAGAACCGGCCCGCTATCCTTCCACCGACAGGAGAGGGAGGTTACGCTGCTCTGTGAAGCCAGCCTCACGCGGTTTCCTCCACTCTAAAGGATGCTGCCCCTGGGCCTTCGCCCAAGCACAAAGACCCAACTCCATACTTGAAACGGACAGGCCAGATATTCCCTCCATGGACCCTACCCACTGGGCTGAGCCGACCTCCAACCACTTTAATGCCCCCATTTGAGTTACAAGCTCGCATTACCGAGCTCGGCGGTCGCATGTGACGCAATGCCAACTTATAAAGACTACCTTTAATGTCAAATCTAGCAATGTGGGATACTTTAAAATTTAAATTCGTGGAAAACTTTTTTTCTTTTTCTTTTTCCTTTTCCTTTTCCAACCCTACCATAAAATTGAATAATAAAAAGATAATGCAATTCCTCTGGTGCCCCACCCATTAAAAAAAAACAAAAAAAAACAATGAAATTAATAAAATTGAATAATCTATAAAAAAATTTGACTAAAAATCAGATAATGAAATATAAGAAAATTTATGGTATAAGTTTTTACCTTCCTAGTTTTAAACCACTTTCACTAAAAAAAAATTAAATAATAATAAAGTGTTTTTTTTTTTAATGGAGGGTTATTTTCCTATCCAACAACAGTAAAACATAAAACAAAAACCCAGACAAATATTTTATTTGTTTAGTAAAAGTGAAGAGAGGACAAGAATTTCAAATCAATTATAAACTATTAAAATTGAGTTTCATGCTTGTCATTAATGTTTTTTGTTTTATATCTTATACGTGTTTAATATTTTAAAATTTTAACAAATAAAGCCTACAAAATTAAAAATATTTAAACCATATATTATAACTATTTAGTTTTTGTTAAGATTAAGCTCGAAATTAATAATTTTCAATAACTAAAATTCAAATGAAATAAGTGAGATACGGTTAAATTATAATTTAAAAACATTTTCAATTTAGTCCATACTCAAAATATTGTTTAAATTTAAATATTCAAAGAATAATACTCTTAATTTTTTTAAAAAAATTAAAAAATATTTTTATAGCTAATTTTGAATAGAAACGGTCTCATGTTTTTTAAAGTTTCATTAATAACTTTTTTTACCAACTTCTTTAAAAAAAATATTAATGAACTCTAAAAAAATAAAATTAAAAGAGATATTCTATGAAATATTAATAGATAATTTTTGTTGACCGTAATTTTTAATTTTTTTATTTTTTATTATATAAACGGGAGGTAATAATAATTTAAAATTTTATGAGTATTTTTTTTAATCCCGTAAGAGTTTTTATCTTTATTCGAGATAAAAAAAAATTTAAAGATTAAGGGTATTTGTGAAAAATTCAGAGTTTTTTTTTAAAACAAAATAATAATGTTTTCTAAAAACTAACCATAAAAATAAAGATATTTTGTTTCTGATATTATTGAAATAGCATATTTTTATTAATTTAGTCTATATATTTTTATAACTATTTTAAACGCAAATTAAACTAAAAGAAATTAACAATATCTTAGAAATTAAAAAACTTATTAAACCTAAAATTTAAATTTAAGAATTAAAGTTAAACAGCAACCGAAAATAGTTAAAAGCTTGGGGTTTTTGGACGTTGATGGAGGAAGGGAAATCATCTGTCCCGCTTGTCTGGACCTGTTTCTCGTCGTCGTCGTCTTCTTCTTCTTCGTCGGACGCGTCTTCTCTGTTAGGTCTTTTCCTATTTTAAACAGCATACCAAATTCCTCCCACTCTGTCTCAATTCCATTATACCATTTCTCCATTTCCCTGTAAATTCCCCCAATTCAATAATCTGTCACCCAACTCCATTTCACACTCTCGATTCCCCCACATCGTCTCCTTCGCCCCATTAACCTCAGGGTTTTAATTTCATCCCCGAACTCCTCGATCGCTAGGGTTTCGATTGTAATCATCCCTCCTCTGGGCGATTCTACCTTGTTCTTCTATTACTTGTGCTTGATTTCGCTAATTACGTTCATCTGGGGCGTTTGAATTTCGTCCCAGCACTTATCGCGAGCCTCTGGAACTGCTGAATTTGATAAGGGGATGCCCTTGGGGTTCTTGGCTTGACAGTCTTCTTTTTAACAGCTTATTTGATTAAAGAGGTAAGGGTTTTAGATTTTCTTTTACAATTGTATGGGTGTAGCTTTGAATTTGTTGTTGTGCTTGATGACGTTTGCAGTTAATTTAATTTAATTTATTTTATTTTTTCCTTTTTACCCTTACCTATGTTTTCTAATTATGTAAATGGTCAACGTGTAAAGGTTTGGGATTCAAGCCTGCACCTGGTTGCCCATATAAGGCGATGTTAGGTCTGAATTGCAACCCCTTCGCTACTACCAGCTGTTTCTTTCATCGGGCCGAATGGCATCCGTTGGAATAGCATACCGGACACGGGCTTGCTGGCCCTGACCCTCTTTGTAAATCAGGTACAGTTCATATCTCAAAGCTGGAATAATGCGCTTCCAAAAATTTTTGTTTTTTCTTTATCCCATTTCAGTAGTTCAATAATTCTGAACAGCTTTTAATTCATATAGTTTTTGGTGCATGATACACTCTCCTTCATTTCGTGAGTCGTCTATGGATTATAATCTACTGAATTCGATGCCATTTTTCTCTTTTCTCTTTGCAGGATAGGGTTGTTTTGTTGCTGATAATTTCAATAACTACTTCAAATTTGAGGTTTTCAGGATCTCATGTACAAAAAAAGTTTCTCTATAGCCAAAATGATGGGCTGTTGTGGTTGCTTCGGGTTTACAAAAAAACCCAAAAGATTGCTGAGACCTGCTTCTGGCTTCAACCGCCTTTCTGAGGATTTTTTGTTGGGTGAAGATATGGAAGATGAAGAAAGCTGCTCGTCTCAAGATGATATGGTCAGTACTACACATGAAGAAGAACCCGACTCACATTGCCGTGTCAAAAATTCAGAAGAGATTTTGCGGCATAGAACGCAGAATGGTTTGATTTGCCGGCACTTTCCTGTCAAGGAGACAAACACAGTTATTCGTTCAGAGGTGAAGTTAGTAATTAATATGTCCTTCGGTTATGTGAAACTAAAATTGAACTTTGCAACTTCTAAGGCTTTTAATTTGAATATGGACTTATTGATATTCTAAGAGTTATTGCTGAATATGTTTTAAGAAAAATTTTGACTTCCTGAACAGGTTAAGCACAGAAATGTTTTATATTTCCTTTATATTTGTATTCCTATGGACTTTGCTCCGGACAATGCCTGGATGTAGTTTGGTTATGTTTGATTATAGAAGGGAAATCATAAGCTGAACTGTAGGTTTGAATATCTTCTATTGTTCTCTGATTGAGGGAAACTTATTGTACTGTTCTGTGTTCATGACCTTTTGCTTGTAATTTCAGAACCCTCTTTTCATTATTGTAGAACGTCCAGTTAGCGGCTCTTTTCTTTCAAAAACGATTAGTCTGGTTATTAAATTTTGGAGTGAAGCCTGACTCTGATTCTTGGTTTTGAGTATCGCCAGCTAGAGAAGTACTTGGATCGTTTACAATTTATTGATAGAACACACAAAGCACATTTTCTTTTGAGTTTCTTATTTTAACATGGCTCCTTTGGAACAGATTCAACGTCTCTCCATTCCCCCCAGTTTTTATGAAGCTATGAACCTGTCTTATTGAAAATGTCAGGATGAAAATGGAAACAAGAGGGTTCTGAAATTGGTTGTTTGATGTTAATCTTCATTAGTTGCTTGATGTGTTCAGGATGAAAATGGAAACAAGACGGTCAATGAATATGTTCGTGAGTGTAAGATTGGTTCTGGTAGTTATGGGAAAGTGGTAAGCATTCTCTGATAACATCATTTTATCATATTTTCTCCATTGATATTATTAATTAAGCCTTTTCCTCTTCATATATATACAGGTTCTATATCGAAGTCGTGTTGATGGAAAATACTATGCAATTAAGGTGTTCTTTCTGAAATCTCTTTTAGCTTCGGTTTATATATTTGAAATAATTTGGTGGTGGGGAGATTATACTATGTCCCTATGGTTTTTCTGTCACTTCAATGTTTGCTGGAAGGCTGAGATATCAAGAGGTTCTTGAAAATAAAATTGCTGTCATACATACATGTAGGCATTTCACAAGTCTCATTTGTCGAAGCTGCGAGTTGCTCCTTCAGAGACAGCTATGACTGATGTTCTTCGGGAGGTAATGGGAAAGTTTCAATTAGTTGCCCCAGACACCACGGTTCATTTTGATGTTTGATTGCTATGCATATTAAACAAGTGTCTTTTCGTAGTTAATGTTATATTCTTTTTGGCATGAACCGCTAGGGTGACTAGATTTGTCAAATGGTGTGTTGTATCTTAAATTTTTTATTGGAAATGAATGTTTAACTCTTGTTTGCATGTCTTACTAACAGAAAAGAAAAAAAAAAGAACACTTATTTGCATATAGTGTATGCTTGAGTTCTTTCTATACACACGTTTCCTTCTACGACTCTTTGGCTAAGCTTTGTTGTATGTGCATATATTTTCTAATTCTCTTAGGATCAACGTTGCTGAGTTGCAAATTAAGAATCTTCTTTTTTACAGGTTTTAATCATGAAAATGTTGAAACATCCAAACATAGTAAATCTGTTTGAAGTGATAGATGATCCAGATGACGATCACTTTTATATGGGTATTACGGCATCTTTCTTTTTTTTTTCTTTATGGAATTGCTCGAATCTTCGAAAGTACTTTTGCTCGAATATAACCTTTACGTGAGCAGTCATTCTTTGTTTTAGTTCTTGAATATGTGGAAGGCAAATGGGCTTGTGAGGGTTCTGATCCACCACGTGGTCTAGACGAAAATACTGCTCGGAAATACTTGCGTGATATTGTCTCAGGGCTGATGTATCTCCATGCTCATGTATGTTCCAGATTTTGATCACAGTAGCTTAGTTTTTCATTTACCTTCCAGGCGAAGTGTTCGCCTCTTGTTAAATAAGTAGAAACTACATGTTGATCTCAGCTTGCATTATCCTATGTTATCTGCTCTGGGCGTCGCTGAAATATTGCAGAGTCTTAATGAAAAATAGGGTGAAAAATAGGGTCACCACTTGATTGCATGTACGCTGATTGTTTGCAGAATATAGTGCATGGTGACATCAAACCTGATAATTTGTTGATAACTCGCGACGGTACAGTGAAGATAGGGGACTTCAGTGTTAGCCAGGTTTTTGAGGTAATCAAAGGACTTCCTTCATCTCTTCACATTGAGAAACCTGTAAGGGTAATATTCATTTTTCATTTGCAGGACGAAAATGACGAGCTTCGCCGTTCTCCTGGGACTCCTGTTTTTACAGCACCGGAATGCTGTTTAGGTCTAACGATTATATTCGTTTTGATGCTTAGTAAGGTTGGGTTACGGTTTGACAGATCTCAACGGTTATCTCTCTGTTTTTAGGTATTACTTATCATGGAAAAGTAGCCGACACATGGGCAGTCGGGGTGACTTTGTACTGTATGATACTCGGTCGATATCCATTTCTTGGGGAGACACTGCAAGACACCTATGATAAAGTGGGGAAAGTGTTTGTTTGTGGTATTATCGCTTTCATTAGATGCATTTTGATGCTAAATGGACAATATATTTCTTCTCCAGATTGTCAATAATCCATTACTGCTGCCGGATGATATGAATCCCCAGTTGAGAGATCTACTGGAAGGAATTCTATGTAAAGGTACTGTCTTCTATCTCCCAAGATTTTTCGTCCCATGGTCAGAAAACTCGCCCCCTCGAACACTTAAAGCCTTTTCTTGCAGACCCGAGCCAGAGAATGACACTCGATGCCATTGCAAAGCACAGCTGGGTGATCGGAGACGAAGGTCCAATCCCGCAATACCAATGCTGGTGCAAGCGCAAGTCCGAACAATCAAACTTAGAACCAGAAGAAAACGGGAGTAAATACGACGATTTTGACGTGGGTTCGCGTAATTCGTCCAGTTAGAGTGTGGATTTGTTGTGTAAATTGAAATGTAGATGGATTAGGTGATGTATGTGCCTCCCTATACAGCTCTTGACCATAAGTTTATTACAGTCTTCTTCATGTTTTTGCGTGGATGAACATGGGTGTTGTGCAATTTGATGGGCAAGGGGAAACCATGGGGTTGGTTTTTAAGACTTTTCACAAAAGAGAAATAAGTACAATTTGTTGTAGTGAAGAAGGGTGACCCTTTTGTGTACTTACATATTTCTTTTAGATTCCTTTACCTTTTTGCATTAAAACCCTACAAATTAATGTACTCTCCAATTCTCAATCATGGGGTTAGGGGGTCTGCCCCCTACCCCCAATTGTACCATCCTTTTTCAAGTACTCATTTTTAAATACTATATCTTCTGTGTTTTTTTTTTTTTTTTTTTTTTTAACTTTCTCAAAATATAATTTCATTTATTATAATTCCCACCTATTGACTTTTGAGTTTCTTTGCTTTGGAAATGTGAAAACGTGTCATCAAACTTTGTTACCGTCCAAATCCACCACTATCGGATATGGTTGGTTTTGATCGGATATATTGTCATCACTCATCCCCTCACAATTTTATAACGTGTTTACTTGTAAGAGAGTTCCACACACACTCTTGAATGTTTTGTTTCTCTTTTTAACCGACTTGGGATTTTTCAATCCACACTTCTTGGAGATGACATACTGTTCGTAGTTTGGCTCTGATACCCTTTATCATAGTCTAAGCCTAAAACTAGCAAATATTGTACAATCCACCCTACGGAGTTTCAGGGTCTTGGCTGATATCATTTGGAACAATCTAAGTCTACAATTAATAGAGATTATTCTTTGTGGGCCCGAATGCATTTTAAAAATATTGAGGAGAAGTTCGACATGAAAGTAAAAAAAAAGAAAAAAAAGAAAAAAAAAAGACCATATTATAGATGGATTTGGACTCTTGCATTAATTTATTTATTTGTTTTTTCTATTCTTTTTCATTCCTTGTTTTTCAAGGATTTTATGTATTGCTTAGAGTTTCAGAAATTAAATTTTTTTTGTCAACCCACTATTTTAATTCTCGTAATTAATGTGAATGGTATTTTAAGAGATTTTAAAGTATAGAAACAAAATTATAACAACTTTAATACATTATAATATTTGGTTTAACCAAATATGTTATAAATTTATGTTTGACAAAAATTAAAATAGTAATTTAATTATAAATTAAAAACGTAACATAGTCAAATTAGTTAATTTAAGAGTGTAAAACTGAAAATAGAAAGAAAAAGAAAAAGAAAAAGACCAAACCATTATGCAAAATAGGGAAAGAGGGGGGGTGAAAGTACAAATACCCAGAAGTACGGTGATATCTGAGATAATTTACCATTATTATTATTATTATTATTTAAATAATTTCCACTCTCTTTATATATATATATATATAGATAAATTATAAATTACAACACATCGACACAACACGGGGCCGCCCCACCCATTTGATCTGGTACCGCTGTTTTCGTTTGCCAAGGCTGACTCCACTCTGCTTCTTCTTTCTTCCTTTTTCTTCCTTTTTCCCCAGCTTTCCTTCCGACATGTTCGTCGGCAACTATTTCAGGCAACCGCGTTCATCCGAGACTCAAGTAATTGATCCCTCTTACTTTCCCCAAATCCAGGTCTGGATTTCCTTTTCCCCTTTCAATTCTCTTCCTTTTAATCTGCTTAATTAATTTCCCTTCTTCCTCTTTCTTTTGATTTCGATCCATTTACATGCACTAGGCTTTTAATCCCTATGGTTGTAGAACTCCGGAGTCTTTTATGATTGTTATCTGTCTTCTCCTGTACAAATTAATTTCATCCTTGGCTTGCGATTTCTAGCTAATCTCTTTTTTTTTTTTAATTCCAGATCGTTCTATTTGGCTGCCGGAGAGAAATTGGGATCGTTCGTGGAGGTTATTGGTGATTTGATCACTACTGGATTTTCGAGGGTTTGGCGTATTCGTTTTCTTAATCTGTTTGCGAGGACTGCGTGGATTTCTCTAATTGGTATAACTTCGAGCGCGTATTATCACGAATATCGTATAAATGGAATATTCTGAGTATAGATTCTTCACACATTCACACACTGTTTCATTAAATTAATGGGAGAAGGAAATAAGTGTTTACTGGTTGCTGCTTTCAAGGATCGGAATTTGTTCCCTGGGTATTGGGAGGATAATCAGAGGCCGCCAGCGTATTACATTTTAAGATTGGTGCTATTTATCGGTATAACTTGTTGATTCTTTTGTTTTGATTATATAAATTTTTGCTGACATTGACAAACGAAGTTTGTTGTAATACCTTATTGGAGGAGATGGAGGATGAAGAAGTAAGTTATGTTTCGAATGTAGATTTGATAGAAAGAACGGTTGATGGTTCGCAGCGTCGGCGTATATCAAATGATTCACTTCTCCCAGGGCTCAATGATGATGTAGCAATGAATTGCTTTGCGTACGTTCGAAGGTCGGATTATGCTTCTCTATCATGTGTTAACTCAAGGTTTAACAAGCAGATTAGAAGTGGTGCCTTGACCGAACTGAGGAAGAAGGTAGAGAATGTGGAGTATTGGGTATATCTGGTTTGTGATTTAAAAGAGTGGGAGGCTTTTGATCCTGATAGAAATAAATGGATGGCATTGCCTAAGATGCCTTGTGATGAGTGTTTCAACCATGCTGATAAGGAGTCCTTAGCAGTAGGTAGCGAGTTATTGGTGTTCGGTAGGGAGTTTTATGATTTCGCTATATGGAAATATGCGTTTTTTCCTCATTGTTGGGTAAAATGTCGAGGAATGAACCAGCCTCGTTGTTTGTTTGGGTCTGGCAGCCTTGGTTCAATAGCAATTGTAGCAGGTGGGAGTGATAAAAAGGGAAACGTTCTAAAATCAGCCGAACTATACGACTCATCCAAGGGTCGGTGGGAAATGTTGCCCGACATGCACGTCCCACGTCGGTCCTGTTCGGGATTCTTCATGGACGGGAAATTCTACGTGATTGGAGGGATGTCGAGTCCTACTGTGTCTCTAACATGTGGAGAGGAGTACGATTTAAAGAAGAGGAAATGGAGGAAAATCGAAGGGATGTATCCATACGTGAACCAAGGAGCTCAGGCTCCCCCGCTGGTTGCAGTTGTGGAGAATGAGTTATATGCAGTGGAGCATTTAACGAACATGGTAATGAAGTATGAGAAAGTGGGGAAGACATGGAATGTGTTGGGGAGACTGCCGGTGAGGGCGGATTCTTCGAATGGATGGGGGCTTGCTTTCAAAGCGTGTGGGGAAAAGCTTCTGGTTGTGGGGGGACAAAGAGGGCCAGAAGGAGAATGTATTGTGCTGAGCTCTTGGTGTCCAAAGTCGGGAGTTAATAATGGAAGTTTGGATTGGAAGATAGTAGGAGGGAAGGAACATGTTGGGGTTTTTGTCTACAACTGTGCAGTTATGGGGTGTTGAAGTTGAAGAATCATTTAAAACTCTGATTTGACAGAGCCTACTTTTTGGGTTGGTTTTCTTTCTTTCTTCTTCTTCTTCTTCTTCTTCTTCTCATTCTTCTTCAGTGTTCTTGTTGTTGTTCTTCTGATAACTGTAGCTAATAAATGTTTGCACAGTTTCACTCTGCGTTTTCTTTGGCTTTTTACTCAATATATTATGCTGCTGCTGCTTTCTGATTTGTCAAGAACAGGTAAAATTGTCCAATCTTTGTTTGTTGTGTAGGCAAACATTTTATGTGAAAACTCGTTTCTAGTTACTGTTGTTTCTGAATTTTGGGTACTTTTTCTGTTTCTGATCATCATTTTACACACAATTCTCTCTACCCAAAGGCATTTAATTGTGCTTCTGACTTTCCATCAACAGTGCTTTTGGATTGAATGAATGCCTTCTGCCCTATATCTTGTTTACTCCTCTTTTCTCTTAGCAAGCCTCGTATTTACTGACCGTTGAGTCTAATTATCAAATGGGTTTGGTTCGGGTTTTCGTTAACCTGAAGTTTGGACTGATCAGGTCTAAACCAAAACCCGTTGTTAATAGATACAGTTTGGGTTTTTGTTAACCTAAAGTTTGGATCGATCAAGTCTAAACCTGTTGTTAATAGCCACCATTCAAGCATTAGAAGAAGTTCAAAAATTTAAAACCTTGTATTCTCTTATAAATGTTCAAGATTCTTGCTTTATATATCACTAATTTTAGCTATTTTTCGGTATAAGCAAATCATATAAATATTAATTTTGATCCGAAAACTCAAATAGTTTTGTGAAGAAGTTTAGAGATCGAATTACAGTAATTCGGTTCGTAGAGTGTTCGAGAAAGTTAGAACATTGTCTATTTAGTGTAAAATGTTTGAATTATTGTCTATGGTATGATAAATATAAATAATAATGATTAAAATTGTAATTTATTATTAAAAAAAAAAAACAGACTTGTAAGAAATTAGATATATAAATATATATATAAAATTAGACGTGTGCGAGAAAATTTCGACGAGTCGGGAAAACGGGAACGTCACGTCGGAATAACCGAATAAGATTATTGATTAGAAACTGCCCTAAAATACAACAAAACGAGAGAAGCGAAGAGCGAAGACTGCTTTCACTGCAACTTCACGAACCAAACATAAAGGAGCAACTGAAGGAACTGATTTTCTGAAATTTTGATTAGCTCCAATGGCGGCCTCTTCAATTGAGGAAACCCTTGTAACCGAAGCATTGGAAACTTCCGAAGATCATCTCCAAACATCGATGGACGCCCAAGACAATACTGATAACTTCCCACAGACTAATGCGCTGCCGGCTGAATCTTTACTGGAACAATCTGATTGCCAGTCCACTGAAGCTAGCGTTGCAGGGGAAAAGCGGAAGAGAACAGACACAGATTCTGATACTGCAAATCCGAAGCCGGATCCGTCTCTGAATCCTCTTTGGAAAACCAGTTTATGCTCTTACTTTAGGCGTCATTCGGGGTCGTGTAGTCATGGAAGTACGTGTCGCTACGCTCATGGCGAGGAGGAGCTACGGAAACGCCCTGATAACTCGTGGGATCCAACGTCGGAGCGGGCTAAGAAGGTGATGAAAGTGGAGGAGGAAGTTAAGGAAGAGGAGGTCATGATGACGGAGGCTGTTGTGGACGATGACGATGAGGACGGCAATGACGGAAGGGATAATAGGCTTAGCAAATGCTTAGTTCATTTGCCGAGAAAATGGACTTCTGATCATCTTCGGGACTACTTGAAGGAACAGGTTAGTATAATTCTCTGTAGTTTCTGTTTGCCTATATCTTGTTCATCGTCTTGAAAGCGTGTATACCTGGTTGTTTACATCTTGGATTCGAGTATTGGTTTACAGCGACGATGAATCCAAAAACTTCCTTATGGGTTTTTCATTGTACATTTCCCCTTAGCTATACGGTAGTTTTAAGATATATTGGACCTGCCTAGTGCATGAAAATTGTGGTTCATTTCAAGAATTTCCGTGTGTTGTTTTCTTGCTCATTTTTCCTTGTGGTTTATGGATGGCATCTCATAAATTGGTTTTCTCGTGGCATTGCAATGCCCTCTTTTGGCAGGGTGTTCATTTTCAATCCGCAAAGAAGAAGAAAGGAATGACCGTAGGTTTTGTTCATTTTGAAAGTACAGAACAATTGAAAAGTGCTGTTGAGGTATCTCTTATTACAAACTTAAACTTCTTCGATTTATGAATTTAAAAGGAATTGGGACGATTTTTCAAATTTTGGATGCAATAATAGGAGTTAGATGGAAAAACCATTGGCAACAAGAATTTGAAGGTTGCAGACGTGATTCCCAGATCATTTGATAAGACAATTCAATCATCGAGGGATCGTGACAATATCTCTAAATCTTCGGTTGCTGTCTCTGTATCATCAAATGATGGTGAAGATGCTGATAGCATAAATGGCGGGAATTGTGTTCCTAATGATTCAGTTTCTAAGGTAAAAAGTGCCCGTGAAGTGGTGGCTCCCCTTGCTCACATGTCATACAGTGATCAGTTGGATCATAAAAAGAATTCATTGACGCAGGTTCTCAAAAAACTTGTAAGAGCTTTCATCCTTGACAATTTTCATCCATCATTGACTTCATCTTACAATTTAGTTTTTGTGGAATATGATGCTGGACCATTCAATTTATACTGACAGACTAGGAACGCCCGAAAAGCTTGTCCTACTGGCATTTCTCTTCCGGATTGGATATTAAAATCAAGGGATATAGGTACCTACTTCATATAAGGTCTTTTTTAAAGAGTGTATTATCTCCTAATTGTTTAGATTGTTTATTCAGATATTCAAGATTTCATGCCCAATTCTTCTTCATTTTAGTTTTCTTTTTACCACATACTGATGATCCTGTTGTTTTTGGTACCTTCAAGGTGGTCTTCCATGCAATTTTGAGGGTGTTCTTAAATCACCAATTATAGATGGATACCGTAACAAGTGTGAATTTTCAGTTGGATACTCTTTGGAGGGCAAGCCAACTGTGGGGTTTATGTTGGGAAATTTCAGGTCAATTCAACATTATTTTTTATTTGTACGCTTGCTTGTTGGCCTTGAAGGATTTGTGATGGATTAAAAAATTGCACAGGGAAGGTGTAACAGCTGTTGAAGAACCTGAAAATTGTCCCAATGTTTCTCGACTTTCTTGCAAATATGCATCAATCTTTCAGGAATTTCTGAAGCTTTCAAGCTTGCCCATTTGGAATAGATTTAAGAATATTGGGTTTTGGCGTCAATTGACGGTAAGTGATTTGAGGTGTTCTAGAAGATTTAAGAAATATAATTTCTGTACCTGATAATCATCCAGTCTTTTTTCTGTTGACAATTCTATTCTTGAACCATGTAAGGTTCGAGAAGGACGAACTCCAAGGAAGTCGATTGATTCTGCAGATTCTGATTCAAAAATCAGTGAGGTCATGCTCATCGTTCAGGTTAATGTTTGATCTGATAAATCATATCAGAAGTTTTTACCTGAAAATTATAATGTTTGATCTGATCAATCTTTCTGCGTTTTCAATTATTTGTTTTTGTCGTCCTTCCATGTGTAGGTCTGCTCTGTAGGTGTTGAGTGTGAACTAATGACCAATGAATTCAAGAGACTTGCTCAAGCTTTTGCTGAAGGAGCTGTTGCAAATTCTCCATCACTGCCACTAACTTCTTTAGTCATTCAGGCATAGATTTCTTTTCTGGAGTTACTCAGTTCTCTCCTAAAACTTAAAATCAGTCGCTTCTTTTATCTTTTCACTTTTCGGTTTTCTAAATTTTCGAACTTTATTTTCCTTTTGCAGCATCACCAAGGAATATCAAATGCAGCACCTGCTGATACTCCATTACAGCCACTAACCATTCCAAATGTCCATGGCGCTGAACTGGAGGCTACCAATGATGTTGTAGAACCAAGAATCCATGATTACATTAGCAACCTTAAGTTCTGCATATCTCCAACGGCCTTTTTCCAGGTATGACCATATTAGTCTTCCAGAGAAAATGGACGATGGTTTTTTGTTAATGCTGTGGTAAATAGAGAATCTTTTTGCCCCAGGTGAATACACTTGCTGCTGAGAAGCTGTATTCACTAGCTGGGGATTGGGCTGGGTTAGGCCCTGACACCTTGCTTTTTGATATTTGCTGTGGAACTGGAACAATTGGGCTGACGTTGGCTCATCGTGTCGGTATGGTAATATTCCAAAAGCCATTTCCCATGGAGTTCATTCGTACTCTGCTTTTGACTTTCCTAAATTATCGACTTTTTTCGTGCTCGAATGATATTGCAGGTTATTGGTATTGAAATGAACGCTTCTGCGGTGTCTGATGCTCAGAGGAATGCTGAAATCAATGGGATAAATAACTGTAAATTTATTTGTGCGAAGGTGAGATTTATAGTTTTCATCATTAGAGCATGATTTCATCCTGTCTATGTTTGGCACTGAAAAAGGCTATGCAACCAACTTATAATTATCTGATTGAGCCATGCTAGAACTTGTAGAGGAATTACACCTCCAAATACTTAACTTTATATTCATTTTCTGCATTTTGTCAATGAGGGAACAGGCGGAGGATGTTGTGGGATCTTTATTGAAAGAGTACCTAAATGTAACCGAGAAAGAAGGGGAATTTTCAAGTGACACTAATCCAAGTGATGGAACTTCAAGTGCCTCCAAGAAAAGTGAGGAAATTCCACGTGCCTCTGAAAAAAGTGATGAAGTTCCTGCAACTGAGGAAAGAAATGCCTTAACGGATGGCATCGAACAAGATTCTGTGGCGGGGCGAATGCCTGAAAAGAGTGCGAATGCACTTGAGACTTCAGAGGTTGCTAGCCAAGAGAAAGGGAGCCAACTCAACGGCTGCAAAGCAGAAAATGGGACTAGTTTGGCACAGCAGTTCAAAAATGTCGTTGCTATTGTAGATCCTCCTCGTGGTGGACTTCATCCCATCGTTAGTGCCTTCTTTTTCCTATACTTTTCTCAATTACTGATTTCTGTTTCCATCAAATTGGTGATTGTTGGCTATTTTGGCAATAATGCAGGTGACAAAGGTCCTGAGAACCCATACGCATTTAAGGAGATTAGTGTAAGTTCTAAGGCCAAATCTTCTGTGGACTTCAATTTATTCTCTGTTTTTTTCTTTTTTAGAACATATATACTTAATACAACTTGGATATTGTGCAGTTACATTTCATGCAACCCTGAAAGTTTGATGGCTAATGCCATAGAGCTGTGTACACCGTCATCTGAAAAAACTGAGAAAGGAAACAAGAACAACCGTGGGTGGAGAAATATGGGGAGTGCTGGTCTTGCTCGGCACAGAGTGAAGTCGATGCCGATGTCGGAGCCTTTTCGGCCTGTAAAAGCAATGGCTGTAGATCTTTTCCCTCATACGCCCCACTGTGAGATGGTGATGCTGCTGGAGAGGTAGATGAGCAAATATGCTGCCTGCGAGGTTTGCATTGAAAGATCTACACTAATATTTATTAGAGGATTCAGATGGATAACCCTTCGTTCAAATATGTAGGACGATTTGATAAATTTTGGGACATATTCTATCAGAAAATTCACAGTTCTGTTATTCCTTTTGGTTTTATTTATTTTGGCTCAGAGTTTTCCTGAGATTCTTTTGATAAAGTGAGACCTAATATTCAAAAAAAGTTTTTTATACATATTTTTTTCAAATTTTTTTTTTTTATAAAATATTATTTTATATACTACCATGTTAATATTGTTGAATGGTACTGTTTCTGATATTATAAGGATTTTTAAGAAATGATGAACCAAAAAAAAAAAAGGATGAAAGCAGATTGGATATCTGAGAAGCTGAAAAAGGTGCCAGAAAAAGAATATTAAAGAAACAAAAAAGTTGATTTGATAAGATAAAATAGTGGTTTTCATAACTCCACTAACAGACTAAAGAAATTAAAAGAAAAGGACTAAATTAATTCAAGAGATTAGATATGAGATAGATGAAGATTGCAAAAACAGACATTAACAACCAACCAGTAATTGGTAAACTAACTTTATTTTGCATTAATTTTTAGAATCTTAATATGGAAAGATTCAAGAACAGGAAACAAATTTTAGAGAACTGGAAACAATATAAGTTAATACCAACAATATAGTAAAATCAAGACTTAAAGAAAATCCATAAATCTAGGGGAAGGTTAACTAAATCGTATGAGAGATGAGTGCAATTTTTTTATAAAGAAAATCAAATTAAATCATTATTTCCTCCCTAAAAAAAGCTATACACAATTTTACTTATTTATTTTGTAGCTACCAACCACAATATTTTAAAGTAAAAGCAAATTTTGAAAAAGAAAAAATAAAAAACAAAATTGATATCAAACATTAAATCATATGTAAAGGTGAAGACCACTTACTCTTATCAAACCTACTCTTTTTCCTTGTCATTAATTCAGAGAAGTACAAAATTAGAGGGACCAACATCTCAAAAATAGCTCATTTATCATTGACAGAGACTACGTTTCTCTTTGGGGGAGGAAAATGCAAATCTTTACAAAAATGGGAGCGAAAAAAAGTACAAAATTACTCTAATAATAAAACAATAAAAAGGAGATAGAAGAGGGAAGAAAAAGAGAGGCAGCATGGTAAGTGGGTTTGATTGGACAAAGGTCAACTCAATCATGACGTTTGAAAACAAGCTTTCATTCATTTTGGGTGCACAAATATTTGGAGTCATGTCTCTCTCTAACTTAGAATTCAACCAATTCACAGGTCACACACTCACAAAGCAAAAATACACAGTAAAACAAACATTTCACACTACGAAAGAAATAAAAGATTGAAAGGTTGTGAATCTCAACTGATTTCCAGATGAGGAATTTGAGTGAGAAAGAAAGAAAGAAAGAAAGAAATCAGAGAGAATCTGATTCGAAAGGAGAGTTTCAGCTGGGAAAATAGGGGAGTGGAAGTGTGGAGGATGGTGGGGAAGAAGTGAAGGTAGGCCACAATTGCCACCATCATTCCCTTTCCTTTCCTTTTCCCCTTATTTACTCTGCAATTCTCTTCCATTTCAGGTTTTGCTTTGTGGGTTTCTGTTGGATTTATGGGAACAGAGGAGATAAGTGTTGTGAGTTCAAGTGCAGATCGTCTCCAGAAGGTTGTTTCTATTCCATCTTATGCTTTCTATCTTATGGCTGTGTAGTAGTGTTAGTGTGTTGTGCCATTTTGTGGTCTTTTTCAGGCTGGGACAACAGAAGGAACCTCTCATGTTAACCATTGGAAGAGGCGAAATCTCTCTCTTGAGATACCTTCTAGGACACCCGACTTTGTTGCAAAAAGAATGCCCCCAACATCTAGTCCTACACCAAGGAAAGTGAATTTTGTGTTAACACCTACCTCTTCAGATGATGCTATACCTACTGGACCTTCAGGGCCATCTTCGTCCAGAGCCAAACCATCCATCAAAAGTTTCTTACCAAAACTTAGCTTCATTTGCCGAAGTTTGTCGGATGTTGACGCGGTGTCCGGCCTTGTTTCTGAGGCTTCATCTTCACGGACACATGAAAAGCCTCCTCAAGCTTTAATGGCGCCTAGGTCGAAGCAAGCTTCATCACTACCTGTAACTCCTGTAGCTCATTCAAATCCAGAATCTACACATGATGGAAGCAAGGGAAGTGAACAGGAATCAGTAGTAAGCACTAGTTTTGAGTTTTATTTAGTGGTGAAGCTGACCTAGTTGAATTTATCATAGGGTCACCTTACAAAGATTGCAATTTTATTGTGCAGAGAAGGGGATCTCAGAAACGGATATCACGCTCCCTTTCTCTTCCAGTCAATATCAAGGGTAGAAGCATAAGGAGGACGGATTCATTTTTTCGAGTAATTCCTTCGACTCCACGACCAAAGGAAGGGGATACGACATTGAATACTTCTACAACAATAGAAATAGGTAAATCGACCAAACTTTACTGGTCTATTCCCATTTAATTACAACAGTAACTACTAACTCTTTTACATCCAATCTTGAGAACTAAAGCTTGTTTTCTACAATGAGTGATGTCAGTCTCATCTCAATCTAATGGCCCAGAAAATGAAGAAAGCAATGGCGAAGACATCTCTGAAGAAGAGGCTGTCTGTAGAATTTGCATGGTTGAATTGTGTGAAGGAGGTGAGACTCTAAAGATGGAATGTAGCTGCAAAGGTGCACTTGCTCTGGCTCACCAAGAATGTGCAGTCAAATGGTTTAGTATCAAGGGAAATAAAACGTGCGAAGTTTGCAAGAAAGAGGTCCTAAACCTTCCTGTAACTTTGTTAAAGGTCCAGAGCATTCGAACTCGAGTATTAGGGAGAACTAGAACTCAGCAGGACAATGTCAATATCCATAGGTCAGCAACTATCTGTTCTGATAGATTTCGAAGTGTTCTATCTTATTGATCTAATCCCACCATGTGTAATGTTTCAAGTAGAGTTTGCTCTTGGTTTTGTCCAATTAAGAATACCAAAAAACATAGAATAGAGTAAGAGCTAAACTTCGACTATTCATACTAATGTCTATTCTATTTGAATAAATCAGGGTGTGGCAGGAGTTTCCTGTGCTTGTGATTGTTAGCATACTTGCCTACTTTTGCTTTCTTGAGCAACTACTGGTAAGACAAGAAACCATGAAATTCTGAGTTTAAATCCATCATTTGTCATGTCCTCTGTAATATGTTCAGACGCAGGTTGCGAAAATGGGCACCAGTGCAATTGCCATTTCACTTCCATTTTCGTGCGTTTTGGGTCTGTTCTCATCGATGGCCTCCTCGACCATGGGTAAGTTAACAAGATCTATTAGAAAATATAAGCATTCTAATCTAATTAGAGCTCTAATGACTGATGACTAATGGTGATGAAGCAGCATCTTTTCAATTCATATTTGCTAGTCTATTACATTCCATTACACTGATTATTCAACAAGCCTGACACACAAAGTTCAGTAATCCTAAACAGAAGTTTTGTCTGTAGTGAAGAGAAGATACATATGGGTATATGCAACAGTTCAGTTTGTGATGGTGATTTTCTTCTCACATCTATTCTACACTATGGTAAGAGCTAAAGCTATCTATTTTTTCTCTTAATTTTAACTGCATAGCTTTGCTACCATTCTTCTCGATCACTTATTGAATGGCATAATCTGGAATCTAAACATAATAATCGTATGCTGTGTACACATAAGACCAATTGTTATTTTCATCACTCCCCTCTATCTATACCGCTTTGAATTTAGACTTTTTGTCGCTTAAATCTTGGAGATGAGTTTTAGAATGGCTTACAGGTTGGTATCCAAGCAGTTTTGGCTATCATACTGGCTACATTAACCGGGTTTGGCCTCATTATGAGTGGAAGTTCAATTATTGTTGAGTTTTTAAGATGGAGAAGACGATGGGGGCTAACATCACCACAACATCACCACAACTCTCAGAGAACAGCACAACCAATACGATCATCTATAGCTATAAGTTCAGTACACCATGCCATACCCCGACAACATCCCGCGGTTGTTGAAACATTAAGCAGAAGCTGAATTGAAACGGTGTTGGGCAAGGTGAATTATCTTTTTTTTTATGCATTATCATTGTTATATGTACAATATGTCTAGGTAGTGACTTCCCTGAACCATAGTTCCCTTGTAAGACTTTATGCCGTGGTTCTGAAAGTTGTCAATTTGGCAAAAGTTGATGGATATATAAGGAACACACAAGAAAATGAGAGAGTGAATCTAATCCATTGCAAATCTTAAACAAATCCAATATACATATGTGGCTTTCTTGTGATCTTTTTCTAGGTTAAATCCTGCCCTGTTTGTGTCAATATTGTCTCCCTAATTGCAAAAAGTTGTTGTTTTAATAGACCTAACCATTGATGAGCTTGATTTTGCTTTCACAAGGTGTAACTCATATTGCTTGAGCTAAAAGAAAAGTATGCTAGCAACTACAAAAAATGGAATCTAGTGATTAATGTTATTTAGTAGTTTGTGAAACTAAATCACAGGTTCTCCAATGTGAAATAGGAAAGATATTAATGGAAAAAAGACTGATTGTTTCCTAATTAAAAAAAATGAAAGAAACAATTGGAGGTCGAGAAAATTGAATCCTCATTGATAATTAAGTAAAATCTACAAGCACAGAACTACAAAAAAATTTGTAAGCAATTCAACAAGCGATGAATGAGGCAGGCAGAAGATATATTATATATTGTATGATAAAATAAACTTTTGCAACAAAACGGACTGACAGAGAAAACGGCAACGCCGACTGAATAAGCAAGAAACTAAGAACTATCGTATGAATAAATAATCACACTACTACTCAAAATTAGCCAGTAAAACGAGTTGACTACAATCTCCAGAACAATGACTTTACCAAACTACGTAATCAAACTAAAATAATAATGCTAGTTAATCAATAGAAGGCTATCTTCTACTAATGCGGAGAATTCCGTACCGTCGTCACTTAGTTCCTCATAGGAATGATGACCTAGCGGCATTCCCGAACTGAGATCGGCGAATGTTGTCTTGGCGCTTCTTGTAAACGATTCCTCCTACTCCCACAAAACACGCAGCAGCAATCACTCCAACTGCAATTCCAGCCTTCTTACCGCCATTCATCCCGCCCTTGGAAGTTTCCGTCTCTCCTCCACCGCCATTGGCAATACTGTTACGAAAATCACTGTCGGCAGTGAGTGAAGGGGCTGGAGCCGGAGACGGAGATGGAACACGCGCTGGAGATGGACAGGGAGTGAGATCTGAGCGCGGTGGCGCAGGAGGAGATTTTAAAGGTGATTCCGCCGGAGAACTAGCAGGAGCGTGAGGGAAGGGAGTAGGGGAGGGCACTGGAGGAGAATCTGCAGCAGATTCAGGAGATGGAGAAGGCGGAACTTCCACCGGTTGTTCCAAAGAGAAAGCGGCGTCCATGAACACCGCAACGAACATCAAAAGAAGGCAACAGAAAGCAACGGATTTCGCCATTTTCGTATAGTGTAGAAGAATCTGTGGAGATTTAAGAATCAGAAAATGGAATGCGAGTAAGAAATAGAAGTCGGTGAGGGAAAAATAAAAATGCAGAATTATGAGTAGCAGTATAAAGCGGTTGAAATTTAAGGAGGAATGGGAGGCAAATAAGCCAATGAGTAAACGCCACGTAGGAATTCTTGAAACAAAAAATAGTTAGTGACTGTACTCTGGATCCGCGCTGGCAGAGCAAAAGGCCGACTCTGAACGATAAAGATAATTACTCGAATTATGCGCCGGTGATTTTATAATTAATTATTTCAAACATTTCATTCCAAAAACATTTTATATTATATTTTTATTTATAAAATATTATTAAATTTATTATAACATTTTATATTTTTTTAATAGAAAGAAAATTAAAAAAATACAATTGATAGTTTAAAATTATATTTTTCTAGAATGGGGAAATCTTTTTGGAAATCTAATTACGTATCCCAAATATAATATATATATATATATATATATATTTTTTTTTTTTTTTTTTTTTTTTTTTTTTTTTTTTTTTTTTTTTTTTTT